AGGGAGTATGAGGATGATTTTTTTTTTTTTTTTGTAGAGAAAAGAACTTTCCAGATTTAAAAAAAAAAGAAAAAGAAAGAAAACAATTGGACTCAGAGTTTTCCGAAACGATTATTTTTGTTTCCTTTTTTTTTGAATGTGGTTTTGTTTGGCTTTGTGGGTGGGAGAGTATTAAAAGTTTACTTATTGTCAGCAAAGTAATGTAGAACATTGCTGAATCTGACATAATTGAAATTTCAAGTTTTAAGTTTTGTTTTCTGCCTACTCCAATCTCAATTTGCCACCCAAGTACTATTTGGTAAAACAATGTGACCCCTCTGAGAAGCCACTAGCCATCCTGGCCCCACCTTGGGGCTTGCTGTTTCTGTTGCCTGAACCTGGGGAAAATGCTTATTATGTAGCCCAGACAAGAGTAGTTTTCTATTTTTCATATATACAGGAAATGTTGATGATCAAAGGATATGAAATTGAGGACATGGCAATTAACATCTACTCAAACTGCCTATCAAACCATGGATTTGTCTCAAAAAGTCAAGCTGTTTGATCACTTGCTTTTGATTGAGAACTATAAAAATCCCAGGCCTTTGATCAGAAATCCTCTTCACTAATCTTTAGAGATAGGACTTATCAGTAGCACTTAATACTAGAAATGTACTTTGTTGGTTTGTTTTCAAATAAGAGTTACTATAGAGAACAAATGCTGAACATTTATTGCTCTTATTTGGGAGGTTTATTGAAGCAATCGTCACGCTCTTTGGAGTCCTTAAAAGTAAATTAAATGTGTGTGTAGAAATGTGATAGTGTAGCAAGGCCCTATGCAACTTAGCAAGACCCTGGCTCTGATTAAAATATTTAAAAAGGGCTGGGGCTCAGTGGTTAGGCACCCTGGGTTTCAATCCCTAGTACCAACCCCCCCCAAAAAAAGTGATAGTGTATATGATACTTCAAAATTATGTCAGAGATGATGGATGGGAGGGAAAGCAAGTATAATAAAAGATTACTGGTAAAATCTAAATGGTGGTATTCAAGAACTCATAAAATTCTTTTAATTTTGTGATATGTTTAAAACTTTTCATGCTAAAATACTGGAAAAGATGTATAAGAAAGTACATACCTTAAATGGAATTTTACTTAAGAAAATTGTCATTGCACAATTACACAAGATTGAGTGAGCTTAATGGATATTATGATAGAGAATTCTTGTTTATGGAAAACTTGGAAAAATTTTTAAAATCATTTAAAAACCTTTATAAAGTTTTATGTTATTATCTTGTAGATCAAGAGCTACTTAAAGATAGAAAAGCCAGCATTAAAGGGGAACCTCTAGAATAGAGTAAAAATGACATTGTGCTCGCTGCAATTTCATTACCCAACTAGTAAGTAAACGAATATCTATCTCCCCAACTGGATTTTAGTCTTAATTTTTTTTAATTTCTAATAATCTGGGCTTATGCATATGGTTTAAAAATTCATTCAAGATGACACAACATATTTGCTGTCTTTACCTGCTATTCTCATATAACACTATACCTTTAGAACTGAGTTTGTTGGCCAGGCCTGACCCAGAACTAAAATCAATGAATTGTAGGTATTCAGTTTTACCATAATATGACCACATCTGGAGGGGAGAAGTCTCCTGTGAATGTCTTTTAAAAAGAAAAAAATATATAGTTCTTTAAAAATGCCAAATTGAACAAGCCCCTCTGCAAATGACTCTCTGGAACAATGACATTTTCCCTTTAGAAAGTTGATTTCTCCCATTAATAAGAAAAATCAGAGATTTGACAATCATCTTCATAACTGCTCACACACTTTCTATTGAAAAGGTACGTTTAGACTTATGACCTAAAATGGGGGAAAGCCTCAAGGTTTTCTTCCGGGTCACCTCCTTCTCCCTGTTTTTTGTTTTGTTTTGTTTTGTTTTTTCCCTTTGTTTGGGGGTTGTTTTTTACTTGTTTGTCACTGTTGTTCCTTTGGCTCCCACAACAATGGTGTTTTCAGCTGTGCTGTCACTATGGGTCTTCAAAAAACACATGGAATGTGGGACCAAAATGCTATCAAACACTGGGGAAGCTTAATGCTACAAGGGAGAGTCAAGGGGAAAGGGACAGATCAAATGCAACAAAACTCGCACTCCACCCTCCTCTCACTCCTGCCCACAAGGGACACAAACAATAACTACAGCACAAATCACTACATTTAAAAAAAACAAAATTTTATTCCCAGAAACATAATAAAGGAAGAGTAAAGCCCTGACCCAGTCTTTTTTCTGCAAAGTCGTTTTAAATGAATCCTTTCTATGACAATTTTATGACCCCCATAAGCAATGGTATTTGGTTCCCTTTTTTAAATTATAAAATTCATTTTTATTTCCAAAAAGTACTCTAAAGTATAAAAAAATGCACAGATCATGCATAATTCCTTCTCTCAGAGAAAAAGACTCAGTATTTGGAATATAGTCCTCCAGGTTTTTTTTTTTTTGCCTAGAGAGATAAAGCACATAATTGAAGGGGGAAAAAAAACACATAGTTTTTCTCCGAAGGGTCTTGACTCTTATTTTCTTGCTTCATTAATTATCCCAACTAACTTTCAGTACCTATGTAAAAAAAAAAAAAAGCTAGCTCCTTCTTCTTGAATTATCAATATGCTGAGGACCTGTCCATAAGGGAAGGGGCGGCAGGGACAATGACTTTCCCAGAATTCTCTTCCCATACTAGCCTTCTTGCTTCCTCTTTCTCTTCATTCAAGCTTTCATAAAATATAAAAACCTGTTCTCCTTATCTTTACTTCCTATTCCCAATGTATCCAATAACTTCTTAAAGCTTCCATCTTCACCACTTCTTCCCTTCCCAGCCATTGATGACTGCCGATGCCAAATATAAGGAAAGTTTGCATTACTATTCTTTTTATTTTGCCTTTTATCAGCATTTAATGCAATCTAGGAGTCTTTTTCCCTTTATTCCATTGGTTCTTCTCCTACACCCATGGCCTCTCTCCTCTTCCTCGCCCTTTACTGACTTCTTTTCTTTTGCCCATTCTTTGAATGCAACCATTCTCTAGAATGGACTTTGATTTCAGTCCTCATCTCTTCAGGCTCTCTATTTTCTTCTTTAATGTGCTCACCTACTCCTGCAACTTTAATTATTTCCAACACCCTGAAAGCCTTGCCCTTATCTCTCTCCTTGGATCTGGACCCATATATCCAAATGGTGAATCCAAATGTCAACTGGCTCTTTCCACTTGGATGCACTTTCCAAAGACACCACAAATTCAATAAGTACCATGAGTAGGTTATCTATTATCTTCTTTACCAACCCTCCTCCTTCTCACTGATAACTCTTCAGTTTGTTCTAAGAGTGCTAGATAATTTGGTAATGTATCCTGATCATGATTGGTTTAGAAGGGAAGAGAAAATAAGGAATTGTTTCTAGTAAGTATAGACCATTCTTTCAAGTTTAATAGTAAAGAGAAGAGAGAGATTGGTCTTTAGGGAAAAAGAGATGTGAAGAAGTCACCTTTTAGGACCAGGAAAATCTAAGCAATTTTGAAGATGTGGGGAGGTAGTGGAAAAGAGATTAAAAATAAGAGACTGGACGCTGAATTTCAACAACTATGAAGAAGACAGTAGGAAGACCTTTTCTTCTTGCAGCTATGGTATATATTCTTCATGTGACATTTGCTTTAATAATCTAGTTTGCACCTCTCATTGCAGTAGTAAATAAATAATTATAAATAATTTTTGAAATATTTATATGACATCTTTCATCTTTATGTTTATTTTAGCATCTGTAGTTAGGCAAGAAATCACACTTGGGGATAATTTGTACAATTATTTAAATCAAGCACTCTTTTCCTTTTCAAACTTTTCTTATGTATATATTCCATTCCTAATTAATGTGAAGAATTCTTTTCATTCAATCCATACACGACTGGTATCTTTCAATTAAAACCTCTCACTTTTTGGAAAACTCATACTCTGAGATCAACATGTCACTTCATTTTTTTTTTTCAGGTCTCTATCCCATCTGATTTTGTTGTTGTAATTTACTTGTCAAATTTTCCTAGGTGACACCCTACATCAGTAGTCATGAAAATAGTTTTCCTATGCAGTTTTCAAAATATAGTGGCTTCTTTAAAATTCAAGTGAATCAACCCACCTTCCCCTTCTACTTTTGGTGGGGAGAGAAAAGGAAGGAAGCAGAAGGTAGATAGGGTTAAGAAGAGGTGGTAGAGTCTGTACAAAGCTGAGGTTCCCTATTAGGATCAATGGTCTTGAGGAAACTACAGTTCTAACTGAACATTATTTAAAAAGTTATCAGCACTAACAACGCCAGATAATTCTCCTTCAGGTTACTCAGAACTGCTAATTGTGTGAGGAAGTGAGAGAGACTGGGGTTTCAGAGACAGCACAACTACCCTGAGCTGAAAAGTGTTTTATAAGGGGCAAGGCAGCAAAGGAGGGCTACCTTTTTTCCTCCCTTTCTCTGCTTCTCCCATCTAAAAGTCCTCCTCATTTTAGCTCTCTTGCACTAATGCTTCCTCCTCAGCTGCACTTAGTGAGAAATGCACAAAATTGGCCATAAGCAGGCAGCATGCTGGGGGCAGAGAGGACCCTAACCTCTTGCCTCAGTTGAAATCCTCAGCTCCAGTGTCTGGACAGGGAGGTGGGAGGAGCACAGGAAACCATTACCCTCTGGCTTCTCCTCCCACAGAAGCCCTGCCCCCTCACACTTGGACAGGGGAGAGATTAGCTTTCTTCTTCCTTCTAGTTCAGTCCTTTGGCTAATAGGAAAGGCCACCACGCAAAAGCTATGGACCTGCTTCTCTGTGCTTGATCAAAGTGCATAGATAGAAGACAGGGCTTCCCGGCTGGGAGGAGGGAGGAGAGCTGAAGAATCCTGCCCGGGCTGGCTGATCTCAGCAGTCAAAGTGGGCAGCTGAGTGCTTGAAAGAGGATTATACTCGCACTAGAAATAAGCAGTAAGTGAGTGAATATATGGCTTAGAAAAGGATTAATCCCCCTCGGGTTATGGGGTAAACTAGAAAATATGGCTTAATTCTAGAGTAAAACTGTAAGACTTCCTTCTCTTTGTACTGTGTGTGCCGTTTGGAGAGTCGGGACTTAAAGTACAAAATCAGAACTGTAATGCCTCCTCCCACTCTTAGGAAGGGCCAAGTTCTACTTGGAATAGTTGGGGATGTAAGCTCCTTCTCTGACCCAGCCTCTTCCCAGGAAAATTTACTACTAAATCAGATAAGGAGGTGGTATTAGATTGGAGAGGTGGAATTTGATATTGGCAGAAATTGCAGTTTTGAATAATGTCTTTTGAGTGCTGACATTATTATATCCATCAGCAGCATTTGTCAAGAAAGTCTGGGGCAGGGGGTTAAAAAGAGAAAATTAAAAGCTTTTATGATAAGGAGGCTGAGCAGTCCGTATGCAGAGGATTAAATACAGAAATTGTATAATAAACAATAAGTGATCTTGGAAAAAACATGAAATGGGAACAGGAGTCAGAGAGCATAAAGATACATAGATTGAAAATGAGTTAGGAAAAGAAATTCTCATTTCAATGGTTTTCTTGTGCTAGCCAAAAATTTCACAATGTTTACAAAGTCAAGACAATGATTCAGGAATACATCAATTATGGTTGTACATTATTAATACTGTTGCTGGGCAAGATCTGTGGTTCTCTGGTCAGCAAGTTCTGGCTATGAAGCCACCGCCGCTGGTGCAAGGAATTCTGGGATGTCTGACAGTGAAATGGATGGAAGGACTCACATTCCATCTCTACTTAATGTCCTTTTGTCCAGAAATCGGGTCATGCAAATGAGCTACTTGGTACGTATACAGATCAATATTTGGAAAGGCGGTTCGAAATGTTTTGCTTTAGAGGGTCTCTGGACAATATCTTATGGCAACCAATGGACTGAAAGGATATAAAAACAAAGTGACAGAAAGGAAGTCAGCTTGACTGAAACCAACCTTGCTCTTTTTGTTTTCCATCAATCCTGAAATGGAACCTCAAATGAGGACAAGAGTCAAAATAGAGAGAAATATTGTGGCCATCTGTTCTGTTCTAAGTGGCTGAGTTCATTAATGTATGAATGAGAATTTGAATTTTATTTGTGCATTCTGATACTTGAAGATTCAGAATTATCTTATTACAGTGATAAACACAGAAATAAGAGGTATGTTTATGGAGGGAGTAAATATGTAAAATATGGTTCTTGAAATGCTATAAAAGAAAAATAAACAGATAAGAATTGTGTCCCACAGTGTAAAGATCAATATCCTGGTCACTGAAGGATGTATTTCTTACCCTAATGAGATAGATGGGATCCTAATATGACACAGTAGGTTGAAGTATACAAAATATTTTTCATTATCTCAATTCTAGTTGATGTAGTTAATATTTAAAGCAAGGTTGCCAAAAACATGAACTATAATTAAGTGTGCAGTGATTTTTATGATCCATTTGTTACTGGTATGAAGAAGAAAAATGGCAGTGGTTGTATTCCCATCAGCTGCTGCACTGGGGGAAAGAAAGAACTCAAACACACCGTCATTCTCCTGAAGTGTGCAATTGTAAATTGATTGTCACAAGCTAGGTTCTTTTCCAACTTTAGAACTGATAATTATAGATTTTGCTATGGGGGAGTTGGATGGGAGTGGTAATTGGGACCAATAATAAGAATAAGAAAAATAACAAAATGTCAATAACATGCATTTTTTAGATGTACTTACTCTGAACTCTTCCAACTTTTTGAGCTACCTAGTTTTGAAATTTATTTTATCTTTGAAAAGTTACTAGAGTAACTTTTGAGTTGTTTTTTTTCCAATGTCAGCATCCCTCTGATTCATAGACAATATTGAAAATCTGAAGATTTATTATCTGATTTGTGTAATACTTCTTTTGTTCTTAGACACAAAAATTTAAGACATTCAAATAAAACATTTAATAGTTGAAGCATAGTATAATTACAAATGAAGTTTCAATCTTTAAGAAAAAATGTGCTAGGATTCTTCAAGGAATTGCTTATTTATCTCAAAGTGTTAAAATATTTTTTTTCTGACTACAAAATACAAGGAAAGCATACGAATATTGAGAAAATGATTAAAGGCATAATTTGAATGGAGAAGGTTAAGCAAAAATAATAATGGTAAGCCAGCAGTTTGAAAACACTTGCTGTTGTAATGAGAGATGGACAGAGAATGATGCATATGACTAGTAATGAGGATAAGTAAAGACTTTTATCTTTAAAAAATATTATGTGAGAATTAAGATTATTAATGGAAAGAAACTAAATGATCATTTAAAATTATTCTTTCACAAGAAAAGTAAAGAACAAGGATATGGAAAACTAAGCAGTGATGAAGACCTCGAAATAATTGTTGATCAAAAGCAGGTAAGTGAATGCTTATGTACATTTTCTATTGTTGCACTGTAGATTTTTGACACCTGAAACCTTTGGGAGCTCACCCTTCCCTGACAGCTGTATTAGCCTGTCTAGCTGAGGCCTGCATAACAAGGTAGACTGTGAGAGCAAATAAACCTCTCCCTATGATGTGTTTGACCCACTGACTTCTTTCTGCATGTCAATACTTCTTTCATGCCAAGACGTATGTATGTTCTGTATGTTAAGAACAATGAAAAATAAAGTCAGAACAATATAAATTTGAAATATTAATATCTCCACTGGAAAAAAAAAAGAGTTGGAACAAAAATGATAATTTGGGAAAATAAAAGGTTTAAATAAGAATAAAAAAGTACATTATTCTGAAAATGAGACACCCTACCATTAGTGAATCTTATAAAACAACAAATATGATTTCAAGGACAGGGGATTAAGGGTAGAAAATTGAGAACTTTAAATGTCTGTCTTGACCAATGTAATTCCTCAGATTCTCAAGTGTTTAAATTTAGAAATGACTTTTAAAAACAAAAGAAAAAGGCTACTTAATAGTCTGTAATATTTCCAATAATTTGAGAGACCTCTAGCTTGGATGTTATATGGGCCCATAAGGAGAAATGAAAACTGCTTAATAGACCATAAACAAAGACATACCAGGTAGTGGAAGGTGTCCAGCTCATGACACCGAATTGGCATCAGTCCTTAACATCTTTGTTAATTATCAAGAAGACACAATAACTGCACATTGATTTAATGTATAAATGGCACTGAATCCGAGGCCACATAAACCCAAGTGTTAATAGAGTGATAATTCAAAGGGATTTGAGTAGATTAGGAGATTAGAAAGAAAGTCATCTGTACTTTATAGACAGGCAAATGGAATTTGGACAGTTTTCTAATCATGCAGTTTGTTTTGTATCAGAGTGGTTACATTAAAGGAGCCATTGTGCATATTTCTGACAAAAAGGAAAAATGGCCACCAGAAGGTCGAAGCCTGAAACAATAAATTTAGAGACTTGTTTGTTAAGCCTGGAATAATTAAGGCAACTGAAGAGGTCTTCTCTAAACAACGGGCTACACAAAGCAGCTCTGTGGAGGTGCAGATATGTTCTTACAGGGTTCACGCACTCAGGGAGAGTATTGCCTTATCACCACTCTCTGGCTTCTGAGTAAAACAGCGTAGGGGGTGTGTGGGTTTGGTCTTCTATTTTGCCACTTAGTGCCAAACTGTCAGTTCAGTTAATAAGGCAAGTAGGATATCGCACAGGTGCTCTCCTGAGCTATTAACTCTATTTTAACTATGCCAGATAAGTTACTTGGGCCTGCAATCGCCATCTCCAACTGATCCTACCCATAGACTTAAGGACCAAATCTAGTGACAAATAAACTAGTAAAATACAATGGAGTGTATTAAGAGAATATAAATATGTGTTTTGTGTTTTTTCTATTAAATATATATATATATATATATATTTCTATTAAAATGAAATTTTATTTTTATCTCTTCTTTAATCATGTAGAAGGCAAATTCTTATCTTTTTATTCTATCATATCTTTACTATCTTCCTCCTCAGAGCTTTCATTTTCTTTCCTTCCTTCCTTCCACTTTTTTTTTTTTTCCTTTTTGGCCCAATTTTTGTGCTTTAACTAAATAATTCTGGTGTTCAGAAAACTACAAAATTATATGTTGAGATCATTGGAGTAGAAAGCCCAAGGAAATTATTGTGTCATTTTTTTCTTTTTTATCTTATGGTAACTTCCACAAACTTGTTAACTGTTAAGGAATCTTAAAGAAAACCAATTTTTCTGCTTCTTCAGAAAATAGCACTTTCCTTACTAGATGGAATGATGGTGGGTTTGATGTTCTCAGTGTCCCCCAGGGCCTCTGCAATTCTGGTTCCTTCCAGGGCCACTACACATACTGGTTCCATTTGGTGGTGGCCCAGCTTTGCTAAGTCATTCATAACACACAATTCCCCGAACATGAGTGATTACGAATGTGAGCTGGCTGTGGTGTTGGCCTTTGGCGGGAAGAGTGGTCCTTTTCCATTTAGCAAGCTTTTATTGATATTCACATTGTGAGCAAATCTTAAGTCAAAACAATGACGATGTTAGTACCTCACATTGTAATTAGTCTTTTTAAAACTACAAAAAATTATCCCTAAGTTTAATAGATTGACAAACTGTGTGTTTGTAATATTCCAGGAATGGCATAGATAAGAGGTTATACATACAATATAAGTTACACAGTATATATAGCAAAACTAAAGCTCTGTAGCCCTATATATAATTTTGTTAAGAATCTTCATGTTCAAGCTGTATCTTTTGCAGAAACCTACTAGAAATTTGTTGATCTTCATGTAATTGCAAATAGCGTTTTCAGTAACTGATGCTGAAAGGAAATCTAAGGAAGATAAATAAAATAATTGGAGTGCTATGACGGGCACAAGTCAACTAATCACATTCCATCCATCACTTAGAAGCTGTGGTCCACACATGCTGTGCAAGCTATGTGCCATTTTATCAGTCCTGTGGTTTGGAAGTCTAGTACTTGTTCAGAAAGCCCACAGTCTTGCTTATATAAGCAAATAAATATAACAAATAAATATAACAAAAGCAGTGCACAATATGTGCATCCCCCCCCTGCTGCCCTCATTAAGGGGGTAAAAGATGAGTCTGTTATTTCAATATGGAAAAAAGGAGAAAATTTTGGAAATGTGAAAGGTTTTTATTCTTGAAAGGCAACATTGTGCTTCTCTCTTGGTGAAATTTTATTGGCAAAATTAATTTGGGGTGCACTTAAAAATATCCCAGAGAACTCATAAATTATTGTTGATGTCCTAAAGTAATAGGTGTCATATAACTAACACACACACATACACACACACACACACACACACACACACACACACACAGTCATTTAAATATAAATGATCACATTGGGATCAGAGTCTGTATTTTCTTCCAGAAATCCCCAGAGTTTTTAAACTTCAAGCATAGGAAAGTAGTCAAAGAAAATATGTTGAAATAAAATCGTAATGCCTCTAAAGCCCAGACATTTGGCATGATAATATTAAATGAATACAATATTTGGCTTTCTAGAATAAATATTAAAGAACAAATTTAAATATACATTTTGGATAATTTTTATTATGAAAATATTCTTTCCTGATTAGAGGAAAGGGGATTTTCTATAGAAATCCATCTCATGTGAATATGAATTTTCTTCTGAAATTACTGAGATTTTAGTAGGGAGAAAGGGAGAGTAGATGGTCAAGTACCCTTAGTAAAATTTAAAACATTAACCACTCTGAAAAAATAATAATTCATTTTATTTTAAATTGACTAGAGTCAATTGAATTCAAATTTTATCAAACGATGAACCTAGACAGCTTTTCTTCTCAAATATTTTGAAATTCCAAGTAGACTTTAAGGAGGTAACAAAGACTAACATAAAACTATAGAACACTATGATTACATGAAGGATACAATTATAGGTGAAGCAATCGGTTCAAGCATTGCAAAAATGGGTTTAGCAAAATGCGTTGGGTTTGTTGGATGTGGGACTCAAACTCGAAGCTGCATATCCTTCAGTGGAGTAAAGTGGGAAATGTCAAATGTCAGCCAGTTAATCCAGAACAAATGCACCAAGATCAGAGCAGTAGTGCTCAAGCTTCAGCTGCTTCCAGTTCCCCTGGAGAGCTTATTATAGCAGAAATGACTGGGTCCCCCTCCAGGGGATTCTGATTTTGTGATCTGGGGTGGGGTCTGAAAATCTACATTTCTAAGTCCTCAGCCTATTGCTGCTGATCCTAGATCATACTTAAGAACTATAGCCAGAGAAAATAGTGCAATCTTTTTATTTTTATTTTTGATTGTACTGGGGATTGAACCCAGGGCTTCACATATGCTAGCAGCACTATACCACTGAGCTACATCCCAGACCTTTTAATTTTATTTCGATATGGATTTTGGGTTTTCCTAAATTGCCTGGGCTGGCCTCAAATTTGTGATCCTCCTGCCTCAGTCTCCTAAGTACTGGGATTACAAACATTTGTCATAATGCTTGGCACTAATGCTGTTTGAAAAGGGAAAAAATATATACATGACTTTTGATAAATTTGACATTCTTCAATAGGGCATTATCTGGAAATTTTAAAACTAGAATTCATAGACAAGCAATGTAATAATACTGAAAACAAAACCATAGCCATTTACAATCAAAAGTGACTGTAAAGGCCCAAGTTTGCCATCTGTCTAAATTCTTCATGGTAGCTTTGTGATCTCGAACTTGTCTAAGCTCAGTTTCCTCATTTGTAAAATAATACTCTGTTTTTCCATCTCCTGAAGTTTATCTAAGATAAAATGCATAATCCCAGCAGCTAGCTCTGGAGGCTGAGGCAGGAGGATCCTGAGTTCAAAGCCAGCCTCAGCAACAGAGAGGTGCTAAGCAACTCAGTGAGGCCTGTCTCTAAATAAAATACAAAATAGTTCTGAGGATGTGGCTCAGTGGCTAAGTGCCCCTGAGTTCAATCCCAGGTACAAAAAAAAAAAAAAAAAAAAACGAGCCCAAGATAAAATACATACAAATGCTTTATAAGGTGTAAGTCATATAGGTTATTTTAATTAGCTAGTCACCCTCACACAACGCACCACCACCCCCAACTTCAGTTTAACAAACAGGAACTTTGAGATCCAGAAAGGTGAATGGAGTTTCCCAGGGTCACTGGTTAGTCACAAAGAGCACTGGAAACCAGCCCTCCCTTATGACATACAATGCGCTTCCTGTCACCTCCCCTGCCAGCTCTGCACCGTGGCTCACCACTAGTCATTCTACAAGTGGGTTAAGAAGTTTTGTCTTGTGCTCTAAATACATAAAATAATTATCAGGGATTATGATAGTTGGCCAACATTTATTTATTGAACCCTCATAGAGATAGACATTCAGGCAACCACTCTTTAACTGTTTCCTTCCCTCTTGACCCCTAGGCATT